CCAGACTGGAGTGCAGTGGCCACTCCCGGCCACCGCAGCCTCAACCTTCTGGGCTCCGGCGATCCTTCCGCCTCAGCCTTCCAAGTAGCCGGAATTACAGGCATGCGCTACCACGTCCGGCTGATTTTTTGATTTATTGTAGAGATGAGGTCGCGCTGCCCAGGCCGGTCTCGAACCCACTGGCTCAGGCAATCCTCTCACCCCAGCCTCCCAAAGGTGCGGGATTACAGGTTGAGCCACCGAGCCTGGCTTGCATATTTTAAATATTCCATTTTATATCTCTTTTGATTTCTAGTAATATAAATTTTCATAATTTTGAAGGAGATTTTAACACACCTCTGTGACATTAAGATTTAATAGAAATTAATACTTTTACTAATTACAGATAATCCAAGAACTATAAAGTCCTTAACTCCCCAAATATCTTTATTTTGTTTCATTGTTATCCTATGTTTTGTAAAAATTTTATTTTAGGCCGAGAAAGGTGGTTTACACCTGTAATCCAAGCATTTTGAGAGGCCAAGGTGAGTCGATTGCTTGAGACCAGGAGTTTGAAAAGAGCCTGGAAAACACAGTGAGACCTCATCTCTACAAAAAAAAAAAAAAAACTAGCTAAGTGCAGTGGCAGTGCATGTACTCTGAGCTACTCAGGAGGCTGAGGCAGAAGGATTGGCTCAGGAGGTTGAGGCTACTGTGAGCCATGATTATGCCACTGCACTCCAGCCTAGACAACAGAGCAAGATCCCTACTCAAAAAAATTATTTTACATTCAAGAAGTACATGCAGGCCTGTTGCATGATGGTGAGCTTTGGGCTAACTACTCATTGAATAGCATGCTCATCATTTGGGTCATGGGCTCAATATATTTTTTTTTACATTTTATTATGAGAAGATTCAAACATTTGTAAAAGTAGAAAGAATGAACCGAATATACTCATCACTAAGCTCCAACAATTGTCAATATTGATTTTTGTCACAGGTATATGTCTACCGACCCTCACTGTCAGATTATTTTGAAGTAAATCCAAGATATTTTATTATTTTACCTGTAATCATTTTGGTATGTGTCTTTAAAAGATAAGGACTCCTTTAAAACATAAAATACAACACAAAACATAGATACCTCCATTTCAAATTCATGATTATGGGGATTTTACTTAATCTCATAATTTTCATGTGTCTCAATTCTCTTTATATTTGTCTGTTTGTTTGTTAATTTTGCTGCCCTTTATGGTGCTTTATGAATTTGTGGTTTGATGTCTTTCAAGAATTTGGAAAAATTGTTGGTCATTATATTTTTAAATATTGTTACTGTCCACTCTGTCTTATTTCCTCTTGGGAGTTCTTTGTACTGTTTATGTATGCTTTTTATTTTCTTTCTGTAATTTTCACTTTTATTTTTCCATGCTTCAATCTGATTATTTCTTCTGACCTTTCTTCCAATTCAGCAATTTCTTCTTCAACTATGTCTAATTTGTTGCTAAATTCAACTATTGTATTTTTAGCTTGAGTTATTTTATAATTTTCAGTTCCTAGATTTTCTGTTTCATTTCTTTCTAGGATATGCAATCTTTTATCTTATTTTTCAGTTTCTAACATAGTAGTAAGTTTTAAATTCTGTGTCTAATACCTCTAATAGTTGGATCTCGTGTGATCCTTTTAAATCTATTTTTCTCCTTGTTTTTAATTCTTTTATTTTTACATTCCTAATTATTTTTAAATCAAGTGCTAAACATTATGCATGAAAAATTATAGTTAATTTGATGCTACTGATAATGTTATCTTCCTCCAAAGAAGATTTATTTTTTCCCCTGGCAGACAGTTTAAGTACAAGAACAAGTAAATCCTCTGATTCTAATTCCATCCAGAGTTTGGGCTGTATTTCAGTTTTTATGAAAGTCAGTTTATTTTCAATTTACTCTTACTTGCAGGTTGTATCTTTTCAGCAGTCCTAATAGAAACTCTGGAATATTCACCAAAGATGCTACGTTTGGAAGATTAATTTTTGCCCAATTAGTTTGATGAAACTGCCAAAAGCTCTATTCATGTTTTCAGACTTCCAGTTTCTTCCCTTAAGTCAGCTAATTCCTTAAGATGAAGTGCTATCAAATAATGTCTTTATTTCTTAGAATTCTTTGCTATATGAAACCTTGGTCCCTCAAGTTTTAACTATCTTGGTAGCTATGTGATACTTCTGATGAATACTTAAATTTGGTCCAGGTTTTCTAATTATTGTAGGCAAGAGTACTGGTCTTAAGTAAACCAATTCAAAATTTCTGAAAGCAGATCATGTAATATATTTTTATTTTTGAACTATTGCTGTGTATCTTACAGTCATATACAATTCAGGCTAGTTTATTTTTAACCATGACATATGTAAATATAAACACAGACATGAATGTTTGTTTTTTTCTGTTTATCATTATAACTTATTCTCAAGTTCTTTTTTATTTTGTTTTTTGTTTTTTTGTTTTTTGAGTTGGAGTCTCACTCTGTCACCCAGACTGGAGTGCAGTGGCCGCTCCTGGCCACCACAGCCTCGACCTGCTGGGCTCTGATGATCCTTCCGCCTCAGCCTTCCGAGTGGCGGGAATTACAGGCATGCGCTACCACGCCCGGCTAATTTTTGATTTATTGTAGAGATGAGGTCTTGCTGCCCAGGCGGATCTCGAACCCGTGGGCTCAGGCAATCCACTCACCTCAACCTCCCAAAGGCGCGGGATTACAGGTTGAGTTACCGAGCTTGGCTCAGGTTCTTTTTTAGGGAGTAATTTCCTTTGTTAAGAAAAAAGGCCTGATGATGTCTGTTTTCTGAAACAAGTAAAATCTCTTAGGTCATGGTTTGCTAGGAGTAAAAACCAAACCAAACCAAGCCATCTGGCAAAAAATAGAGAAAAATATCAATCTTCTTGGCATAAGATAACAGACATTTAGAGAAGAGGTAAAGTAGAATAGTGAAAATAAGACACAAGGTTGAAGCAAGGTACAACTAAGAAACTTATGGTGGAAGCTAAAAGTTCTGAGAATATAAAATATTCCCTTTTAAGGCATTTGCTTTGCTATGATATAATAACTTTATGTTGTATGAAATATTCAGTAAAGTCTTTTAACTGTAGAAAACCATGTTTCTATGGATTTTAAAGAAAATAAAGGGGAAAGCAGTGGAGTGGCTTGTTAAAAGCAGCATTTAAAAAAAGAGAGCTAAGGAAGATAAGATGCTGGTGAGAGACAGCAAGAGTTCAGTAGAGATAGGAAGCAAGAACCAAATTACATAAGTAAAAATATAAGGTCCATAAAACTTGAAAAAAATCCTGAGGAGGACATTGACCTAGGATAGGGGAATCAAATAAAATTTATATAAATCTCAGCGAACAGGGTCCCTCAGTTGATGCCTGAGTAACTTTTACACACATACTTAACTCAGGCATGCATTTGCCCTTACCAAAGGATCTGTGATCATAGAGAAATGTGAATGGAGAAAATGTTAATGTCTTATATGAAAAGTTTAATATCAGATCCTTGAGCTTCATTCAGTCTTAGAGCTTTGCTAATGTGTTTCTCTTCAGGAACTCTTCACTTGAAATGTTTCTACCTAACTCCTTGAGTTTTTCCAGAAAAAAATTAACAAATGAAAACAGACTATCTAGAGCATTCATGAAACATTAAGCCCAGGTTAATACAACAGACTCTGAATTAGAATAGAACACACAACTTTTCTCTTTGATAACAGATAGTGAATTTTCAATTATTCACTTATTATTTATGGCAAAACTTCAAATTTCAAACCAATATACTTGTCATCTCTAAATTTTTACATTTAAGAAGAATACAAGGTTCCACAGAACATGAGTTACAACACTGTAATCAAATAAATATAATAGTCATCTTGCTCCCAGAGCTCAGGACTCCAACCCTGGCTTATGCTGGACTCTGTGAATCTCATTTGTTCATTTTTTTCTCTGACCTGTAGAATAGGATTCTCTCCATGGTTGTGTTTTTCTTTTCCTTTTGAACAGGAACTCTACCAATTTGGCCTTTACCCATCCCTGTGAGGATCTTTTTTTTTTTTTTTCCACAGATCATTTTATTCCTTGAGAATATTTCACCATTCTTCCTCTAGGTGTGCTGTACTCACAATTCTACTGAAACAACCATTTCCAAAACCCACATTTAAACATCCTGAACCTAGAGATCATCTTTTTTCTTGATACCACCCCCAGCAGTAGTATTACACGTCATTTGCATTTCAAAAGCAATGTCCACAGGCTTTAAACTGCAAAGTGCTTGAGACTTCATGTGTATTACTGGATACTGATAGGACTGACACATTTTCTGGGATGTATTCCTTAAGCTCATAATGCAGGATGATAGAGTAATATCACCTTCATGAACTATGGAGGCTGCTGTGTATTTAAAACAAAAATAAGTGAAACCCAATAGAACCCTTTGGTGGCAGTGAAAATGGTACTTTCATTGGTGTGGTGAGTTGTTTTTTTTTTTTTAGTTGGAGTCTCACTCTGTCACCCAGACTGGAGTGCAGTGGCTGCTCCCGGCCACTGCAGCCTGACCTGCTGGGCTTCGGCAATCCTTCCACCTCAGCCTTCCAAGTAGCTGGAACTATAGGTGCACGCTACCATGCCTGGCTAATTTTTGACTTATTGTAGAGATGAGGTCTCGCCAAGTTGTTCAGGCGGGTCTCGAACCCGCGGGCTCAGGCAATCCACTCACCTCAGCCTCTCAAAGCTTTGGAATTACAGGCTGAGCCACTGAGCCTGGCTGTGAGCTATTTTTATAATAGAATTTTATAGACATACAAATGCATTAAATATGCTAGAAGAAATATTTAAACATGGGTTTTACATTCCAACAGAAATTATTCCCAAATTTGCTAGTGTGCTACATTTCTATTTGTAAAATAATCAAAATCAGGAAGCCATAGGGCTTTTGAACACAACTTCCTCCTCTTTCACCTACACAGTGACTCACCTGTGATGGCTAGCTGAGTCACAAAGAAGGTCATTCTCGACTTCCTCTTCCTTCTCCATGTGGAGAACAACACAACAGAGTTTCCAGCAATGGTGAAAACAAAGAGGACCCACAGAGTTATCAGCTGCTCAGTCTGTAAGAAACGGAACAACACAAAACTGGTGTACCTAGGAGAACAAGGATACTTTACAGAATACATGACCCAGTCTTTGAGTTGAGATGCCTGTCTCCAGGTCCTATATTCCCACCTTTCAAAGCTTTACTCTCAAGAGAACAATGACAAAGTGGTTCTTGTTTATACCAGCAGTGGAGTGAATTGATGCACCTTTAAAAAAAATCTATTGGAGAGCTCTCACAGAAACAAAGAGCTGATACCATATGTTCTCACTCATAAGTGGACCTTGAACAACTCCTGTATTACTGTAGGAAAGGAATGAAAGTAGCAGGAAACTGCGGGCAGGGGGTGAGGGGTGGGGAGCTGGGATTGACAGTAATCAATATCTGTGGGGGGGGCACACCTCATCAATAAGGGTACCTACACAAGGAACATTTGTATACCTAACCCTGAATTGTACCCCACAATTTCAAAATAAAAACTAAAAGAGAAAACAAAACAAAGCAAAAAACAAACAAACAAAAAAAAACTTGCTCACACACACACAAAAAGTCTACTGGAAATGTATTTCAAGAGACCCAAACTAATAAAGTTTGTATTCTTTGGCCAAGTAATTTTTATAGCATGTGAAAATTCAAGGTGTGGAAAAGAACACTGCCATCATACAAAGATGTTCATATTTATCAGAAGAAGTTAAAATTGCTTAAAGATAACAGAATAGTTAAGTGAATAAAGCACTTTAATTCAGTGAACTATTGTGTACATAGCTATTAACAATTATGGCCATGCAGTCTGTGTAGCAACATTAAGAATGCTTATAATGTAATCGTAAGTGGGAAGACATGTTAAAATTGTATATTGGATATGATTACAACTCTGCAAAATTATGCACATAGGAAAAAGACTGCAGCACACTAAAACATTAAGAGTGTTATTTTAGGGTAGTGTGATTATGGGTTATCTTTTCTCTTTTTCATTTGCCAGCATTTTATAAGATGGTAATATTAAAGTTCTGCTGAATAATGTTGCTATGGTTTGAATGTATTTCCCAAAAGTTCATGTGTTGGAAATGTGATCTCCAATGCTACAGTGCTGAGATAGAACCTTTACGAGGTGCTTAGATCATGAGGGCTCTATCCTAATGCATGGATTAATGTCCTTATTTGGGGGATTAATTATTACAGTGGTGGGTTCCTGACAAAAGTTCAGGCTCCTTTCCTTTTTTTTCCTTTCTTTCTTATCATCTGCCATGGGGTGATGTAGTCAAAGACTCTCCCTCAGGATACTAGCACCTTGGTATTGGACTTCTCAGTCTCCAAAACTGTGCAAAATAATTTTTTTCTTTATCAATTACACAATTTGTGGTATTGTTACAGCAACACAAAACAGATGAAGACAAACGTATAATTAGTTAAAAAGAAAAAAAAAGACAAGAATGCTATTCATTAAAAAGTTTTCCATAAAAAACTCTTCATAATCACTCAAATAGAGATTTTTAGCAGTCTAATATTCATAGACTAGAATAAACAGTGGCACAGGCACTGGGATAGGTACACACACACACACACACACACACACACACACACACACACACACACACACACAAAGTAAGAGTGAGGCAGGGCTCATTCATGAGAGAAGTGTCAAGGCCAGGTGAATACAAGGATAAGCTTGAAATCAAAAGCCAAATGGCCCAACAGAAACATCAGCCCAAAAGGTCTGGGAAGAATCCTAGTAAGAATGCACAAGTCTGAGATTGGAGCCTGCAGCGTTTCTTCTGTTTGAAGGAGACAATAAGAAGAGAAACTTATAGAAATCCCACATGATGGTTAATGTGGGGTTAACAATGTGTCCAGTTGTTTGGTCAAACACTAATCTGTTGCTGTGAAGTTATTTTGTAGATGTGACTAACATCTACAATCACTTGACTTTAAGTGAAGCAATATCCCCTGTAATGAGACAGAAGACAGCTAGAGAAAAGTTAGGCAGGCCACACGGTGGATCCTCCAATAACAATGTAGCAAACTTCCATCAGGCTTCTCAGGCTCTGTTGGTAAACAAGCTTACTGCCAACCTCTCAAACTAGTGCTTAAGTAATCACTGCGGGATAAAAAAGCAACCAATCAGCTTGCTGCCAAGTATTGACCAATCAGCTCACTATTAGGCTCCTACCTCCTGCGACTGGTCCTTAGTATTGATCAATCACCACAGCTAATGCCGACCAATCAGCTTACAGCTAGTGCTAGTCAACAGGCTCAGTCTTGGGGCTATATAAGCACCAGGTTTCAACCCCACACTGGCAATCCTTTCAGGTTCCCTCCCACTGTGGGGGCTTTACTGTTCTCTCAGTAGGTCCTGCTTTCTCACTTTCCGGCTGTCCGTGTCCCTCATTCTTCCTGGGCAGGAGACAAGAACCCCAATCTGAAGAGCTGCAGAAGATGGTTGGAGCGGAAGAGCCGTGCACTCCAGATGTTGGCTTACCAGCAACGAAGCTGGCTGAACCAGGAGAGCTGCTGGCAGAAGGCAGGACTCTGAAGCTGACACTCCGGTGGGCTAGGCTTGCCAGCCCACTGAATCAGCAACACTCTCAGGGCTTGGCTTGCCAGCCCGTCAGAGCCAACACTCTGCGGGCTAATCTTGCCAGCCCACTGAATCAGCAACATGCTCAGGGCTTGGCTTGCCAGCCCATTAGAGCCAACACTTCTGGGACTAAGCTTACCAGCCACACGAGCGGTATATCTCTGGGGCTTGGCTGGCGGACCCATTGAGCTGACACTCTCGAAGCCCCAGGGTGACCAGAAAAATCCGCATCCGTAACATGTGTGGGCCTTATACAATGAGTTGAAGGACTTAAGAGCACAAGTTGATACTTTCAAGAGAAGATTAAATTCTTCCTCAAGACTGTGACATTGAAGTTATGCCTTTGTGTCCAACCTGCTACTTGCTGTGTGAATTTCAGACTTGCTAGCCCCCACAGTGCTAAAGCAAATTCCTTAATTCTCTCTTCCCACCCACACATATTTCTATCAGTTCTGTTTCTTTAGAGAACCCTGGGTGATACATCCATGAGTACCCAAATCATCACAACAGTCTTTTTTTCCTCATATGGGAGGAAAAGCTGTATTCACAAGGGTCTGAACACCTCCATCTTCCTTGTGGTTGCATAAAGTTGCAGTATGTTCACTGTAGGGTGAAAGGCGACCAGAGGCCAAAGGGAACAGCAGGTGACCAGGGCTAAAAATATGTCGGTGGGGGCAAGGCTCCATCCTCAACCCTGTGCCCACAGTAGCAGAAAAGTACAGCTGTGTGCATCATTCTACTATGGGAGTCTGTGGGCTAGGAGCATCTTCTGGGAATAGGGAACAGAGAAGAATGTTGAAAATTCCCACCTTGATGAAAGGAAAAGTGCAACCTGACTCTCTCTTAGATTCTGGGAACTTGGGCTGGAGAAGCTGGCAGGGCAGAACTTGAGCCTATAGAATGAAAAGCTGCAAGGGGCCCAAAAGATAATGCTGAGAAACTGAAGATGAAATCAAGAGTTTAGGGCTACATAGACGGTCTACGTAAAACAAAAACCCAAAGAAGCTGGGTGAAGGAACAGCATTCATTGAGGAGACAGTGGGCCAGGAAATAGGGGTGTCATTCAGGGGAGATTTCAGAGCTTGTTGTGCTTGGGGGAACTAGTAAGGGCATCTTGCAAAGAGACTTTCTCATAATAATAAATTATATCAGGATATGTGCTAGAAAACAAAATATTAAGAAACTAAGAATCCCATTTACAATTTTGGGGTGTATAATTTCAAAATAAATCTCTCAAATGGAGGTATTTTTCAAGATTTTGTTTTGGGACCTGTTTTTTTTTTTTCTTACACAATCTATGGAATCAAGAGCTTCCTAGCATTTGACATATATTACTTTATTTAATCTGCCAGCAGCTGAAGAAGTGGGTCTGTTACCTTCAGGTTTACATATGAGGCATTTGAAGCAGCTCAAAAAAGTTAACTCAGGGTCAAATGAGATCTGACATAAGCCCAGTTTTCTTGACTCTGACATTCAGACTTTCAAACACTATGGACATATAAGATCTAACAATTAAATTCACAAACTTGCCACTTTGACAATTAAGTTCACAAATTTGCCACCATAAGTTTACGTTGGCAGCACTGTACAAACAACTCGGTAAGGTTTCATATTCTTGGCATATCAGTGCTTCACAGCTGTGTTCGTGTTATAATATGGCGGTGTCTTGCTGAATGACATTTATTATTGTTGTTGCATGTTTTTGTGTGCCATTGCAGACTGCCAAAGCTTGAAATAAAGCAATGAACAAACATTAAATTTCTTGTTAAACTTGGCAAGAGTAGAAGTGAAATAAGGAACATGTTAGTCCAAGTTTCTAATTCCATGAAGAAAACAGCAGCGTACAAATGGATTGAACATCTTTCTCAGGGGAGAGAAAGTGCTCTGAAGAGAGGTCAAGATGGCCAGTAATGAGCAGAGCTTATGAAAGTATTACAAAAATTCATCGAATTGTGTGTCAAAATTGTTGGCTGACTGTGAGAAGCATAACAGACCAAATAAACATCAACAGAGAAACAGGAAAACGTTAACTGAAAATCTTGGCGTGAGAAAGTTTTGTGTAAAAACGGTCCTGAAGGAGCTCTTGCATCACAACAATGTACCAGCTCACCCAGCACTGTCTTTGAGGGAGTTTTTAGTCAGTAAACAAATAACTGTATTGGAACACCCTTCCCACTCACCTGATCTGGCCCCCAATGACTTTTTTCTTTACCTGAAGATAAAGAAAATATTGAAAGAAAGACATTTTGATGACATTCGGAACATCAAGGGTAATACGATGACAGCTCTAATGGTCATTCTCTCAGAACCAGAGTTCCAGAATTGCTTTGATGGGTGGAGTAGGCACTGGTGTCTGTGCATAGCTTCCCAAGGGGAGTACTTTGAAGGTGACTGTAGTGATATTCAGCAATGAGGTATGTAGCACTTTTTATACAATG